AATAAAGGATATGTTCCATAATTTTTTAAAACCGCATAAAACTAAATCAATGAGTTACAATATACCAAAAATCGCATAAATCGCATTTCTTTAGAATTATCGTGGCTATATGAAAATGTTCGGCATACTTTGCGTACTGATTGGAAATCACTAGAAGAGATAGTCAGCATATCAGACCTATGTCCTGAAGATAATGATTTTTCAGTAAAATTTGTCTCAACTTCGCATGTTCATATTTTCCCTTTGACAATATTCCCAGAAATGCAATTCTCGCGTTGAAACTTGAATGGTCGTTCAGAATTATCATCTTTTTCGATGAAATGGTTTGCCAATTTGTGTCAAAATGGCCTAAAATGGTTATTTAAAAAAATGCTTCTTGAAATAAAAACCGCATAACTTCAAAACCGCATAAAAAGAGGACCAAGTGTAGTTTGATACTTCAAGTTACCGTTTCGTAACGTTTCTATTTACTAAGAAACACTGATTAACCTTGCGTTGTGCACTTCCAATTTACAGCAAGTTAAAGGGAATTGAAATTACACACGCACATCGCCTTAGTTTATGGATTGAACTCTCAGTGGAAATAAATCCAGTATCAGCGTATTATCTCACCTGTCGTGTCTACGTTTATTCCCACCTGTAAAATCGTATTGGCGTTTCGCACAATCGAAAATCCGTCGGCAAAACAACAAAACACATCGAGCCGCGTTTATGGAATAATGAGCGTAACGACGTTAATTGCATTGCATGTGGATTGATGGAACTGCAGACATACGCAGACCATGTAATAAACATTTTCGAAATGGATATTCGGGCAGCTCTTTGAAGGCGCCCATTAATTAGCCCAGAAGCCGGGGGTCTCTTAATAGAGTCTCATCAATTAAAGTTATCAAGGAGGGATTGATTATTGCTTCATTAAACCGCGTCTCCACAGATCCTCGAACCACAATAAACAAACTTTAAACATTCCACTCGATGTTTGTTTGTAGTATCGTCGACGACGAAATATTGCTTGTAATGCATTTACATAATTGCCGCATTTGCGAAAGTTTTCTGCTCATCGACGCATAAAGTTTTCTGGACATTTTTTAAGTCCGCATCCGACCGTGATCATTCCCAATTTTATTTTAATTTAATTATTTTTTGTTATCCTCCTTTCGCGCGTTCATAACGATATTCAGGGCTTAATTAATATTGAATCAATCCATGCGAATGTAACCGTTCCATTAATCCGAGCAAGAACATATTATTTCAACGTATTTTCCATATTTTAATTTTTTTCTTTTATTTTTGTTCAACTTTTCATTGAATTGTCATGAATGATTCGCGATCCGGAAATTTGAACGCAAATTATTCAGTTTTTAATTAATAATTAATAAAATTATATACAAATAATCGAAATATACATTTGAAATACAATTCAATTTTACGATGATTACCTAAATTACATTTAATTTTATACTGATTAGAAATAGTTCTAATTTTAAATTAATTTTGTATATTTAAGAATTTCTTTTTTTTAATATTTTTTCTATATTTTTATAAGTTGTTTAAAAGTTATAAGATGTATTTCATTTGTACATTGAAATTATTATTTTTTTGTTAAATATGATTTTGAGAAATTTCAGTTTTAGTTGTCGCTGAAAGTATGAAACGGATGAAACAGTGCGTGGGTGAATTTAATTGTGTAACCAATTTAAACAATGGAATAATTCGAGGAAGAAAACATTGCTTTGCATGTGATTCGCGCGCGAATTGTTCGACTAATTATAAAAATATGCACATGTCGTATAATAACAATAACAGTAAACATGTTTCCGTTCCGTCGCGCACGAACATAGCTGAAACATTGTTGCTCGATGCCGCTGCTGAGCATTAAACGGAAAGTGAAAAAAAAGTGCCTGGACTTATTTAAGTTTATAAGTAAATTAAGCGCGGTTATTTTTAGAGGATTTTACAGGAAATGAATTGTGGCACGTGGGATGCCAACCGGAGACTGAAAAAAAATTGTATATGATATAGCATGCATGAGCGGGAATGAGAGAAAGAATCCCCCAGAAAAAAAAAAAATGAAAACAAAAACATAAAAAAAAAGTTGCCACGTATACGAAATATTTATCCTCCCTATCCGGCAAATGATAATCCGCGGAATAAAAAAATATTATCTGCAATAAATCTCGGTGTGTATCCCCTTTTAACATTAACAAACACCCTCAATCCACGCGCGCGCGCAAAGTGTTGCATAATTACTATTTACATAATGCTTCCACTTCTGTGCAAATATTGATTTTGCGGGAAACCGTCCTTCCGCGATGCGAGAGGAAGGAAATAATTACAGCGGAAAGAATTACGTAAATTTATATAAATACACACAGTGGTATTTTCTTTATGACAATTAGCGCACGTTAGTCTGCGTTGGTAATGACCCTCTTTGTGTCTGTGCGCTGTGATTTATTACAGATTCTGGTGACTCCATGTGAGTGGAATGATTCATAGGTTCTTAATGGAAGCGCGCTTTTAAAAGCTGCATTAAATGCATATCGATTGCATTGGTTCGTAACAAAAGTCCGCTCTTATCGGAAGGTATTCGTGGTAGATAAGCTTCGGGACCAGTTACGTCATACGCGTGCGGTTCGAATGCGAATGGAGTGTCCCGAGCACAGATTCCGTTTCTATTTTCTGTGCTGTCATTTGTTTTTTTATTTTATTTTTTGCCTTTTTCGCCTTTCGGTGGATGGGAATGTTTCTGGTGGTGATGCTGTTGATGCTGCTGCTGTCTGCACACGTGCATCGCATATGTGCATTGCAGAGCAGTTTGTAAATATACAGCGTGAGCCAGGGGCGGATTTCCGATACGTTTTGACTACATGCTCCGTTCCTGTCATTGCAGATTCGTAACGACGAGGATGGATGTGATGCTCTTTTTGCTGATATTTTCTGTCGCCTTTCAGGCGATGGCCGTAGATCCTAACGAACGTAAGTATTAGTATGACTTTGATAGGATTAGATCTGATTTGGTGAGGTTTCTCAGGGCCTTCAGAAGATGTTCCTACTAGAAACGAGAAGATTGAAGGTAGCGCTAACCATTCGAAACCTGTCTTCGTAAAGTATGGCAAGATGCACAAGAGCACACTGAAGCCGGCTGGAAGTTATGTGACACTGAAATGCAAAAGCTACGGTAATCCGACACCTAACATAACGTGGTATAAGGATGATCAACTTCCATCTCAACGTAATTTGGGAGAGTACAAGTACTCGAACTGGTCCTTCACCATGGAGGATTTGGTCACTGCTGACACCGGCAAGTACAAATGCGTCATCTGCAACTACCTGGGCTGCATCAACTACACCCACGAGCTGGAGGTTATCGGTAAGTGCTAGTACTAGATATTAAAAAGAGCTTTACCTTTGAGCGAGACAATATATATTTGATGTACACGCAGAGCGCTTTCCGTCCAAACCTTATATAAAAGACGGATACCCGAAGAATCTCACCGTTCTGGTGAATTCTACCGTTGCTCTCGAATGTCCGCAGCTCATAGCGGACCTAGAGCCATACCTGACTTGGGTTCGGCCCTCAAATTACACGTACTCGCAGCATAACGACACCAACAAACCGGATGGCCAAGTGATACAGGTATTGTCGAAACTTAAAAATGAACTTTGAGGTGATGGAATTCTAAAACAACAGAGTGTTGGTGCTGGTACTTGATATTTTAATGTGTTGGTTGTGGATAATTTATGTTTTCTTTATGTATACTCGGTGTTCGGAGCAATCCCTGATCGCATTTTCTTTCCTTTTAGAGGTAGTACAAAGTCGGCCCATCCTCTTGGGCGACTATAACAATATGACTGTGGAGGTGGGCGACTCCTTTAACACCACTTGTCGGGTTTACGCCAACTCACTAAATATACACATACAATGGGTTAGGGGCCGTTTTGATGCTCCGCAAGTCAATACTTCTCAACAGGTATAATAACTATTACTAACAGTAAATTTAGTTTTTTTTTGCTAACACCCAGATTAACAAAGCTCAAATATTTATTACTATAGTACAATCCACTAATCCTAAAATGGGACCGTTTATTTTGTATTTTTGTATCTGTAATGCTTAAAATATTGTCTTGCTTCTACAACTGTCAAATACGTTTTCAAGACTTTCTTTCAAGCCCAATTGATTAGACTAAAATCAAATTTAGTTATTTTGATAATAATAACAATTTTTATTACAGTAAACTATATATTACTTATATTTTTAGAATTAAAAATGCGTATTATTAGGTTAACATATACATAATATTAGGTTAACAGCAAAAGGCTATTCATCTTATTCTATTTTTAAAAGAAAAAAAAAACTCCTTTTGTTTTAATACAAATTCATGTTCTTTACAAAGTATCAAATTGTATAAAAATTATTTAATTAATGTATCAAAATCAATAATTCGAAAATAATTGAGGAAATTCATTTGAGAAAAATGGTATAAAATAATGCCGGAAATAATTCAAAGTAATTTGATTAGTAGATAAAAATAGAAAATGTATATAGAATATGGTGGATTTGATGAAATGACGGAAATGTAACATTTATATATAAGACGGTGACATAGTGACTTGATTGTGTAATCGATTTCGTATTACGCCCTGAAATTCATTGTTACAAGTTATTATTATCATCTTGAAAACAGGAAGCGCATACCGCTATTACAGTATTATGGCTGATTCATAACATTGTATATGTTAGCTCGGAAAGTTCGATGCAGCTTTTTTTTAATATGGACTTGCATCAAAACAATGATGTTTTATTAACGTACACGTACACCGAAAATATGTGCAGAATCCAGTGCCGCGTCAATATTTGTTTTATCATAATGCAAATGCCATGCAAATGGTCCCCTTTAAAGTGGGTAATAACGATAAAAAAAATACAATAAAAATAAAGTATTTGAGCTTTAAAGCACGTAATCGCATGCCAC